TCGGTTCGAGGCCTGTTTAGCGACTCTGTAGCTCAAAACGCGTCTCGAGTTTTGGCCGCCTCACCGGTCTTCTGGCCCACTGTGCCCCGCCGTGCCCAGCTTGCCCGGCTTGCCCCGCCTGGCTGGAGCGCCGCCAAATTTCACAGCGGCCCAATTCTTTTGTGTGTACGTCCCAGGACGTCGTCCCAGGACGTCGTCCCCGCCGGGGCGGTCGGGCCCCACCTCCGGGCGGGCCTCCGGGAAGCCTCCGGTCGGGCGGCGCGGCGCGGCGCGGCGAGGGTCATTCCGTAAGTCAGGAAAACGTTATTCGGACGGCTTCCCGACAAAGACGCCCCAGCCTCCGCACAGTGGGCCAGAAGACCGGTGGAGGCGGACGAAACACTAGACGCGTTTCGAGCTCCAGAGTCGCTGAATGGGACTCGAACCGAACGTGTGACCCCACCAATGGATTCCGCGTTCGGAGAGCAGTCCATTGGTGGGGTCACACGTTCGGTGCGAGTCCTGTTTAGCGACTCTGGAGCTCAAAACGCGTCTAGAGTTTTGGCCGCCTCCACCGGTCTTCTGGCCCACTGTGCCCGCTGCGCGGCGAACGCCGAGGCGGTGCGCGGGGCGCGGCACGACCTTCGGCAATCTCCCTCGCGCTCCGCGGACCGCGTCGTCGGCGAGCCTGGTTCCGCGAGGGCCGCCCCGCCGTCGTCTGCTTCCAACGCCACGACCCTCGGCGTGGCGCGGCGCGGCGGCCCGCGCGGTTACGGACAAAACAGTTGACGCAACCAGTTTAGCAAGTACACAGACAGGTCGGGGCACACGCTACGCGGCGCTACGCGGAGAAACGGCGCACACAAAGGGGGCACCAAACTTCACGCCGCGGAGGGCACAGTGGTGGGGGTAAGCGCGGGAAAATGCGGAAAACCGCAGAGGAAACCGCAGGCGAACGCGGAAAACCACGACGGCGCTGTGACGTGCCCGGCACTGCCTGCACCCAGGACCGGCGGCGGGGTTGTTTGTGCACCTGACACTGCTCACTGAGGCATCACTGAGGGTGACGGCGGCCCGGCGCGGCGGCGCGGCTCAGCCGCCTGGGCACACAAATATCGCCCGTTCTCGCCGCATTACGCTCCCGGCCCGGAAGCTCGCAAACAAAAAGCGTTCGGCGGCTTGATCCGTTTCATTACGGCGTGTGTGCGCTACGGCCAACTCCACTCCGTGCCGCCCCGCTGCGCTCCGTCGCTGTTGATTTCGACACAAACGCGGCAACGCGGCCCGGAACGCTACGTGCGGAGAACTCCACGGACGTAATGGGAAGTGAAGGGAAGTACACTCCCAGACGGCAAGTTCTTCGCGGCGCCCCCGAAAAAAAAAAACACAACGCGAATCGAGGTGGGCCGGGCCGGGGGAACCAAGTGCGCGATTTTTCTCGTTTCCTCCCCGTTTCGCCTCTGCATTTTGGCGGAGGCATAGGAGATGTATTTGACGGAATCGCGGCGCCGACTCAGCGGACTCAGCCAGATGAACAACAAGGAGTCAGTGTTATGGGCGTGGCGCCGCGTGGCGGGGGTGCATGCGGAGTGCGCGGGGAGTCGGCGCGCAGGGTGCCCCGTGGCTTCCCCCTCCTCTCTCTCTCTCTCTCTCTCTCTCTCTCTCTCTCTCTCTCTCTCTCTCTCTCTCACCGCACCCCTCCTTCCGCGCCTCAGTGCTCGCGGAAATAATGAAGGGCATAAATAAGGCATTTGAGCCCCATTTTCCAGCCAGCGCGGTCCGCCCCTCCCACCCCCGCCACTGCACTGCCTAGCGTCAATTTAACACCCATGTTTTTTTTTTTTGCAGAGTGTGTTTTTGTTTATATATTTTTTTCTCTCTCGAGCATTGGCGATATTAAGGCGCGAGTCGTTTATCCGCCGAAAATTTATCCTTCCCTGCTCAAAGCACTCGCCAAGGCAGCAAGCCTCAAAGAAGGGCACGGTCAGAAGTATTTTTCCAAGACAGAGAAAAAAAGGGGAGGGGGGGCTCTTTGACTGACCCAACCGTCTGCAGCCATTCTGATGATGGCTGTGGGGAGGGGGGCGGGCGGACGGACGCAGGCAGACAGACCGACTTGCGGAGAAAAATGGTAATTATCAGTACCTTCGCAGCCACATAAGCTTCGCTGTTGACGGGCGGCAAAGGGAGCGAGATGATGGCCGGGTGGGGGTATTTGCTTTTGAAATGAAGCCAGCGTGGCCCGACTAACTTAATTATCGACACACCACGCAAAAAAAGAAGAAAATACTCACGAAAAAAATACGGAGGGGAGCGCTGGGTGGCACCACGGTTACCAACCTTCCGACCGGTAGCCCCGCGCAAAGTACTTAGCATGGGGCCCTTCCCTAATTTATCTCAGCCCCAAGAAAAAGTGGCTCAACATCTTGACAGCCACTTGGCAACGAGTCCAAGCCCTCTGGCCCGGCAGCACCGCCAGGCAGCGCCGCCAGGCTCCATGAAGAAGGGGGCCAGGAAGGAGGCGGGAAAAGAAGGATGGAGATGGCTCCGGAGCGCTCACTGCAGCCAGGAAGGGCCCGGACGGCCGGGACGGCGCGCACTACCAGTATTAGCGCGGCTTTCGCGGTGCCCGGTTCAAGTTCAAGCAGCGCCTAGTGGGCCAGAAGACCGGCGGAGGCGGCCAAAACTCTAGACGCGTTTCGAGCTCCAGAGTCTTCTGGCCCACTGTGCTACGTCTAGCCCGCAGGGCTGCATTGCCTTCGCCAGCTAGCCGGATTGGATGCCCGACTCCGAGGCCCCCAGGTTGCGCCCAGCCCAGGGCAGTCGTCGAACAGGACGCACAGTCGCAAGGAAAGTTCGGGCGACTGGCTTCGCGATAGGTGAGGCGTGGTGGGGCGGGGCGTGGTGGATTACTCCCCCCCCCCCCCCCGCGCAAGGGCAGGCAGGGCGGACGGGATTATCCGTTGAGCCGGTTCGCGTGAGGCGCGACGCTGTGCGACGCTGCGCCACGCCCCCTCCCCCTCCGGCCCCTTGAAGGGCCCAGGGGCGCGACGCACGCCACATATTGGAAGGCATTCCCATTCTTCGGCTTAGTTCGCGTGACAAAGTTTCAGCTGATGCAGGCAATGTCAGGACGACGTTGTTGCCGCCGCTCGTCGCGTTGCACGTCGCCGTCCACGAGTCCGTCAAGAACCCTGCAGCGGCGGGGCGCCGCGCGGAGGTCGCCGACGAGGAGGATGTCGACGAGGAGGATGTCGACGAGGAGGACGCCGACGACGAGGACGCCGACGAGGCCTTGGTTACCCTTTGCTTGATTCCAGGCCGATCCGGGGACCGTGGAAGTCGCGTCGAGAGTTATGTTCGCCGAGCCGAAGCGGCCCAAGCGGCCCTCTTCCGGGTCGCCGTGCGGCGCAGCGCGCAGCGCGCTCGGTCGAATTTATCACAACTCGGTGCCGTCTGCCAGCGCCAGCAGGGCAGCGGGGCCGCCCGGCGCCCGGCCGAGGGTCGCCACTTAACAAGGTGTAAGCCCTTTACCTACACGCCCGGCCCCGCCGCCACGCCCCGCCACGCCCCGCCACGCCGAGGACGAGGCCTGCACTACCATATACTTGTTCGGTAAGCCGATTACTCTCACAATGAACGACGCGACAGCGGCCCTGGACGCCCGGCACGCCTAGCGCCGCCGCCTCGCGCTGCAAATCCCTGCGCGCGAAGGAAATGGCTCGCCACTGCCAACATCCAACGCGGCCTGTCTATGCCCGCCTGCCCGGCAGCGCCTGCTGACCCCGTCCGCGATGACTCGGCCCTCCAGGGCACATCCCTCTCGGTTGCTTTCCTCGTGGAGCCGGAAAACAACGCAACTGGAAAAGTGCACTGCAGCCAAAGGCAACACGATAAAAAACGGTTCCTGGTTCGCAGGAACTCCCTGGATATCGCCTATGTCTCTACCATAGGCTTCCTGGGAAAACCAGGTACCGTTTTTACCGTGAACCGAAGGCGGCGAGGCGAGGCGACGTTTCCAATTAAAACGCGCTCATTGTACACGGTGCTACTGACAGACCGCTCGCCCGCGCCTGCGCTGCCAGAAACAACAACAGATTAAAAAAATCAACACAATAAGGATGGGCGCGCGTCTAAATAATATTGCTTTTCGCGTTCATTTTTTTCACGCGTGTTTGTTTTTTTCTTTTCTTTTCTTTTTGTTTTTTGTTTTGTTTTGAGGCCGCCGCTTGCTCCCCTGCGGCGTGCGAACCACTCTACGGGATGCATTCAATACGGGTAAGCGAGTGCAGCCGGACGCATCGCCGTACACCGTAAAAAAAGTTGCCAAAAAAAGAGTCTGAATAAAATATACTGTCATCAGGTCGTATTCTTCCAGGCGGAGCAACAACGGTGGCGGCAGCTTCGGGGATATTGCCCCACGACACACACTTTAAGTGGCCTTTTTAACGGCGCAAGTTGCCTTTCTCGGCCCAAACTTGGACAGATGATGTCGCGGCGGGCGCGGCCTAGCAGTGTCGTGGCTTGCAGTGGCGTGCCTTGCCTGCAGTACCGTGCCGCCACCTCCGTGGGAACATTGACGACAGCTGGACCCCTCCCCCGCCTCCGTGCACGCCGTGAACCGCCGTGCCGGTCGTAAAGCTCGGCTGTTGCCGCCGCGTGGTGGGCTTGGTGGGCTTGGCGGCCGCGGCGGCCCTGGTGGTCCTAATGGGTCGAGGTGGGCAACGTGTCGATAATAAACGACCCGGCCGCATAATAGAACAAAACGCGTTATTCTCGCGCCATTGACTCGACCGATCGCGAAATAAGGGAGTGACTGACTCACTGTAAATGTCTTACGGCGAAAGGCTGCACCACCATAATATGATGGAGATTTTCTCCATAATATAAAAAAAATATTCGTCAAAATATCTATAAGGTACAGTGAATTCTCATTGGTATGTTACAAAGTCACCACCAAAATATGGAACATTTTCACCATAATATGGAGAATCATCACTGTGCAACTCCCCAGGACTCACCCAGGATGCCGAGGCGGTAGTTGACGGTGACCACGACCACGCCACCGTAAGACGCCAGCACGCTCGCGTCGTACGGGTTGCCCGAGTTCCACTCGTACGACTCGCCGTGGATGAAGACGAGCACCGGTGACTTGCGCGTCGTAGAGCCGGCTGCAACACGAAAAAAAAGACAAAATTGAAAAAAATAAAAAAAATAATAGAAGTGACCTGTGAAAAGCTGAAAGCGAGTTGCACAGTACACGAGGGTGACAAAGTTCAAAAGTTGGCTGTCGCAAATTTTAAACGGGCATGACCGTCCACACCTAAATAACCACATGAAATTTTTAACAAAGACACAGAAATTTAAAGAGTAAAAAAAAATAAGGCTACTTCGTGCCTAAAAATGGCTGCGTTTTTTTGGAAAAGAAAGCGACAAAGGAAAGCGCTTTGGCCAACCACAACATTATGATTTCCTGCGCCCTCGCCATACCCATTCGGCGTATAAAAATGGAACTGGCGGAGCCGAGCCGAGCCGAGCCGAGCCGAGCCGAGCCGAGCCGACCGGCGACTGGCGGCGCGGGCCGACAAAGTGTATTGTGTTTGCAATTACTGGTCGTTCCGAGTCGCGCCACGCCGGCGGCGCGCTGCTTGGAGGCACACTGCTGGAGGCACATAGCCCAGGAAACGAAGGTTTTCACCCGGAACTAAAACATGTATAAGCGGATTTTGGCTTACATGGTGCAGTTTGACGTGCTGAATCCGATTCCGAAGAGTCCACCTTCCTAACCCGTGTGCGTCCTTCGAAAATTGAACAAAAGGGCCTAAATGCAGAGGTTTGCGGTATTCGCTGCAGCGCCGAAACTAAGAATGCGATTGAGATCGGACTGGTGTCAAAATGTGCGGAATGAAACAAGGAACAAATCCACCGCACAGCGAACGTCGCGCGATAAAAATTTCCAGTCTAAAAGTTGGTTTGAGTGAAAAATATTAAATTTCACAACGGCGTATTCTTAAATATCACTTCATATCTTCCCATCCAGGCGGTGGATCCCAAAATGGTCCAAGTAAACGCTGTGCGCTCTTTCTTCAGCTACGCGCCGGTATCTTTGGTTTTTGAATCCACCGCTCCGTTCGACTTCTAACAGCCTTGAACTGAGGCGGTGCAGATGTCCTCCGCTGCGCGCCGCAGCCGGGGTGCGCGCGGCCCCGCTGCTCCCCCCACCACTCTCGGCCTCGGCCGCGTCTGGAGGCAGGGTGTTGTCTCTCTCGCTCCCTTTGTAAACGCATTAGTGCGGGAACGGTGGTGCATGCCTGCTCTTTCGGAGCCCGGTGGAGCGGCTGGCTCCAATGTTTACAACGCGCGATTCCTACTTCGTAGTTTTAGTAACCAAAACAAATTTTATTGAAGGAATGGTTTGTTGAGCTTTGTAGAACGCGACGCGCTCTACAACCTGGTTTTTCTTCCACAGTTCTCGGAGGATTTCTCACGCATGTTTTGTACGAAAGGGCCTAAGCACGTTCAAAGCCCCTTACCGAAAATGGTGGCACCTAGAAATGCCGGACCAAAGCCAAAATGACCAGAATGCAACAAGGAATCGTTTAAGCTTCCACCGATTGATGTCATTGAAATATTTTGACAGCAATCTCTATTTGACTATTTTTGCTCATTGTTTTCTTCCCAACTTCCTCTGCACTATTGTTTGTAAATGGGGCTGAAATCGCAAAATTGGTCCCGAGAGATCGTCAAGCGCTGGTGTCTCAGCTGCATGTACGTGTTTTCAGAATTTCGCTAAGTGCAACGGTTGCCAAGTAATTTTAGTCGAAAGGCAACAACGCATCGAGCGACGCCGCGCCAAGCGGGGCGGAGCGGCGGTCGCGCGCCCGAGAAATGAGGCCTTGCAGCGTCGCAACGGGGAGGGAATCGAAAAATCAGCTCCGAGGGAACGTCAAGCACTGGTCTTTAACCTACACGTAGATGCCTTTGGATTTGAGATAGGACAAACGGAAGCGGCTGAAACTGAATGCGAAGGTTCGCGGCGCACGCAGCAGCGCAGCGGGCAGAATACTTCGGCGCGGCATTGTCGGGTCATGGCTTTATTAGATTTCCACCGCTTCCGTTTGTCCTAGCTCAAATCCAAAGGCATCTACGTGTAGGTTAAAGACCAGTGCTTGACGTTCCCTCGGAGCTGATTTTTCGATTCCCTCCCCGTTGCGACGCTGCAAGGCCTCATTTCTCGGGCGCGCGACCGCCGCTCCGCCCCGCTTGGCGCGGCGTCGCTCGATGCGTTGTTGCCTTTCGACTAAAATTACTCGGCAACCGTTGCACTTAGCGAAATTCTGAAAACACGTACATGCAGCTGAGACACCAGCGCTTGACGATCTCTCGGGACCAATTTTGCGATTTCAGCCCCATTTACAAACAATAGTGCAGAGGAAGTTGGGAAGAAAACAATGAGCAAAAATAGTCAAATAGAGATTGCTGTCAAAATATTTCAATGACATCAATCGGTGGAAGCTTAAACGATTCCTTGTTGCATTCTGGTCATTTTGGCTTTGGTCCGGCATTTCTAGGTGCCACCATTTTCGGTAAGGGGCTTTGAACGTGCTTAGGCCCTTTCGTACAAAACATGCGTGAGAAATCCTCCGAGAACTGTGGAAGAAAAACCAGGTTGTAGAGCGCGTCGCGTTCTACAAAGCTCAACAAACCATTCCTTCAATAAAATTTGTTTTGGTTACTAAAACTACGAAGTAGGAATCGCGCGTTGTAAACATTGGAGCCAGCCGCTCCACCGGGCTCCGAAAGAGCAGGCATGCACCACCGTTCCCGCACTAATGCGTTTACAAAGGGAGCGAGAGAGACAACACCCTGCCTCCAGACGCGGCCGAGGCCGAGAGTGGTGGGGGGAGCAGCGGGGCCGCGCGCACCCCGGCTGCGGCGCGCAGCGGAGGACATCTGCACCGCCTCAGTTCAAGGCTGTTAGAAGTCGAACGGAGCGGTGGATTCAAAAACCAAAGATACCGGCGCGTAGCTGAAGAAAGAGCGCACAGCGTTTACTTGGACCATTTTGGGATCCACCGCCTGGATGGGAAGATATGAAGTGATATTTAAGAATACGCCGTTGTGAAATTTAATATTTTTCACTCAAACCAACTTTTAGACTGGAAATTTTTATCGCGCGACGTTCGCTGTGCGGTGGATTTGTTCCTTGTTTCATTCCGCACATTTTGACACCAGTCCGATCTCAATCGCATTCTTAGTTTCGGCGCTGCAGCGAATACCGCAAACCTCTGCATTTAGGCCCTTTTGTTCAATTTTCGAAGGACGCACACGGGTTAGGAAGGTGGACTCTTCGGAATCGGATTCAGCACGTCAAACTGCACCATGTAAGCCAAAATCCGCTTATACATGTTTTAGTTCCGGGTTGGTACGCTATTTTGACTTGGTTTCCTGGGCTACACACTGCTTGGAGGCACACTGTGGCGCGGCCCTTTAAGTTTGGCGCCCAATTACTCCGCGGATACTTCAATCAGGATCCCGCTCCAAAATGTAAATAATCGTTTGAGGGATCGAAAGCAATCAACGCGGCCGGGCCCGAGTTGCAAAGAGGCAGGGCTGACACGGCTTCAACACTCAATCCGTGCCACTCCGTGCTCCATCTCGGCGGCGGGGCGGCGGGTCGAAGTCAACACCAATCCGGCAAGCGGATCGCGGGCAAGCTCTCCGCGCCTTCCGCGCCTCGCGCTCCGCATTGCGCTTCGCATTGCGCTTCGCCCAACACCAGGACCGGCCATGACCAAGAGATGATTAAAATATAAGCCTCAGTCTAAGAAGTTGTCGCTGCCGAACCGCACTCCGATAGCGGGCTAAATCCCGATTTATTTTCCGATTCATCTCTCTCTCTCTCTCTCTCTCTCTCTCTCTCTCTCTCTCTCTCTCTCTCTCTCTCAGCCGTGTCCTTGGCACCTGACTGCCGAACAAAAGAACGTCGAAGCCAGGCCCAGGCCAAGCCCAGGCCAAGCCACACGGCAGACAACAGGTTCGTGCTTCGCAGGGAAGTCAAGTTGTTGTCGAAAGGAAGGGGTGCGTGGACTTTGGAGCCGGAGGGGGATCGTGGGTGGAGGGGAGGGTGGAGAGGAGATTCATGGGGCCTAAAGTCTCCCCGGCACGAACCCTGGCGGCTAGTACGTGCGCCCTCTCCCCTCCCCTCCTTCCCCTCCTCATCCTCCACCACCTCCTGCTCCTCCACCTCCGCGTGCAGCGGGTCGCGAGGCGACAGGCCGCAGCGTCCCTGCCTGCAGACTGATTCCGAGGGGGAGGTCCCGTCGCTCTGTCTCTCTCGCACCCATATGGGACGCCCCATGAGTGCGAGAGAGACAGACCTCCCACTCGGAATCAGCTCGCTATGGTGCATAGCAAGCGCACGCACCGCGCCGTCACAGCCGTGCCGCCGAATGGATACCGGAAGTGGTTTGCTTTCCAGTGGAGCAGCGCGGCACGGCTGCAGTGCCTGGCCTGGCCACGCCCACAGTGCTTCGCAGTGCTTCCATCCCGACAGCCTGATGGACCAATAATTGAATTCTTTTACAGCCGGGCTGCGTGCGAACGCCGCAGCACCGCAGCTCCCAACTTTCTAGTATTTTCATTTCCGGCTGCTGCTGCTGCCAGGTCCGAAGCGTAACCAAATTACTGGGTCCTTTTTTCAGCTCCCGGGTTTTTACAGGGTGATAGCTCCCGAAAAGGTAAAAGTTTCCCGCGTGCGCATCAGCGCGCCGCGGCCGCCAGAAATTAGATTTGCCGTACTTTTGTGTCGGCCGGCGGCCTTTTGCTACCAGTAGTGGATCTCGCTGGCCCCGTCCGCTCGCGAGGATGTGGACCGCTAAATATTTGCAATGTCGTTCAGTTGATACAGCGGTGTCCATATTTACCCCGGAGCATTGCGAGACTATAGCCTTGCTGCTTGCAGCGGGGCCGAGTCGGCCGGGGCCGGGCCGGCTTGCCTACCCCCGATTGGCGGGCGTTTTCGGGGGGGAGGGGGCTGCGAGGTTTGGGGATTGGGGGATCGTTAAGGGACCTTACCCTCCACTGACACCGAGCCGGCGGGCCGGGCCGGGCCCCGCAAAGCCCGCAAACTTGCAGGCTGCTGTTGTTGTTCGAGTTGCCGTTGCGGCCGTTGATTCTGTAAGCTCGGTCAGGGGGCGCGAACCGCGCGAACCGCGATATGCCGGGAGAGAGAGAGAGAGAGAGAGAGAGAGAGAGAGAGAGAGATAGAGAGAGAGAGAGAGAGAGAGAGAGAGGAGAGAGAGAGAGAGAAGAGAGAGAGAGAGAGAGAGAGAAGAGAGAGAGAGAGATAGAGAGAGAAGAGAGAGAGAGAGAGAGAGAGGGAGAGAGAGAGAGAGAGAGGGAGAGAGAGAGAGAGGGGGGGGGACATGTGTAAAGAATAAAGGTGGCGAGGGCTGCCTGTCTCGATGGATGGATGCGGCGACCCTCCGGCGCGCATACGGTGTAGGGCCCTGCCGCTTATCGCAGCCGAAATGCACACTTTATGGCCGAGCTTTGCATTCGAGGGTGCAGGGCAGTGCAGGGCCGCTGGCGCGCTGGCGGAGATGGCCTCCATAAACTGCTCACCTGTCCATGGAGTCCGCGGCGCGCCGCCTCTGTGTCCACTTTGTTCCAGTCACGAGCAGACAGCCCCCCGAGGGGCCCCCGTCTCCCTCGCGCCCCGCCGCGGCGCCCCGCGAGTGCGAGAGAGAGGGAGGGCCGCACGGCGCCTCGATCATCCTCGATGGCCCCAAATGAGGGGCCGTTCAGCCCGGCCCCGCCTCGCTCGTCTCTCTCGCACTCACGGGGTGTGCCGTATGGGTGCGAGAGAGACGGAACGACGAAACCTTCCTCCGAACGGCCGTATCGCCCCGGCCTCGGCCCCGGCCGGGCGACGTACTCCACAGTGTCGGAGCGACGGCCCCTCACTCCGGGCCCGCCCTAAATCACGGAGCCTTTTGCCTCCCGAAGGCCGAGCGCCGCCGAACGGCGCGCAGTATCCGCTAGCGGAGCTCCGCGACGCAAACATTTTTCAGGGGTTGGCGGTGGGCGGAGGGAGTTCCACAGTGGGCGTATCAACGGAGAGAGCTCGCTGCGCCGCCTGTGTGTGTGTGTGTGTGTGTGTGTGTGTGTGTGTGTGTGTGCAACCGTGAAACTGTGGGACAAAGGTGTCATTTTTCGGCAGAGCAGCGCCCCGAATTGGATCCCATTAACGCCCGCGGGGTGTGGTCCTCTGAAAAATCGCTTCGGCCCGCGCCGCCGCCCTCTCCAAGTCCCCACAGGCCCCTCCCCTCCGCCTCCCCGTTTTTTTTTTACACCCCCCGCGTCATTTCATATGCAAAATCATTTCTGCCCGGCGCGGAGTCCTCGCGGGTTTCCAGATTGCGCGAGCGGGAAGCGAACAGAGTGACCGGTACTGCACTCGTAGAACAAAGGTACCGACAAAGTACGGAAAAAGTCCGGTCAATAATTTATCCGCGGCGCCCGCACTTCACCAACTACCAAAGTTCCCTACCTGTTTTGCGGGCCTGATTGCGTAGGGTCCTACGGTGCCTTTCCCGTACCCGATATTCTGTTCTGTTTCCGTACCGAAGGATACGACATTTTTGACAGTGTATACACTGGCAGAAAAAAAAACGTAAAAAAATATTATAAGGCTTAGAAGAAGGGTCCAAAAGCACGAGTATGGAAGGAAAGCGGGAGCAAAAGGCTCGAAGGCCGGCAAGGCCGCGGAGGGCGGGACGCCGAGAAGTGAAGCACGGAGGAATACCGATAACCCCATCCTCCAGCTCATTTGCACCTTAAAATGGAAAGTGCAGCCGTGCGTGCCGCGAGGAGAAAAAGGAGAAAAAATGGAAAAAAAGAAGAGAGAGAGAGAGAAGGGCGGCCGAGTCAAAGAAGGAGGCGGCATAAAAAGGCGAAAATTAGGGGCAAGGGAGGCGCGGTCAAAGTAAGGCTAGGCGGCGCTTAGCGGGTCCGTTTTGAAGGGTGTGGCGGCAGTGGAGCAGCAGCAAGCACCAGAATGGCGCGGGCCAGCAACTCGTGAAGGCCAGCTGATTCCCTTCAGACAGATATCCGATAGCGCCTTCCCGGTGGGCACGGGGTGGGCACGGGGTGGGCGTCCCCCCCCCCCACCTCCACGGTCCGAGCAACCACCCCCTCCCCTCCCTCTGCAGTGGCGGCCCCGGCGGCGCCGGCCTTCCCTCCGGCCTCCGGCTTATGATTCGACCAGCCTCCCGATATGCGCCGGCCGGGCCCGGCACGCCACGGCCCGGCACACCAAGGCCCGGCACGCCACGGCCCGGCACACCAAGGCCCCGCACGCCACGGCCCGGCCCGGCCCGCCACGGCACGGCTAGCTCGGCAAGGAGCCGCACTCAACATCTGCGGCGGTTCAAGCCGGGGCGCAGGGCGAGAGCTCAAAGTTGTGGCCAATAAAAGGAGTACAGGGCAATGCGGCGGCCGGGACAGCGCGCAGGGAAAAGAAGCCAAGGGAGCAAAATATTAAAAAAAAAAAAACGTCAGCCTCGAAAATGTCCGCGGCGGACACGTACGCACTCACACGAGGCGAAATTCTTTTCGCGGCGCAAACGACGCGTGACACGCAAAACGGAATTATCACTGCGTCGCTGATGGACAGGCCGGGCCGGCCATAACATTAGTCAGGCGATATCTGTCGCATCATCATCGGGGTGTTGCCGCTGGGGTG